AGTGGGGAAAAAAAAAAAAAAAAAAAAAAAAAAATTTTTTAACAAAAACAGTCTAGGGAAGCTCTATCTAGTGAACGGTTGATACCGAGGCAATTGCTCTGTGTGTAATGCAACTCTCCAAGATACCGTAGGAAGGCAACAGAGGAGGTGAAAAATCGCTTACAGAAAAGAACCCCCAATATTATTTACTTTTAAATATATGATGCGTTTGAGGAGCATTAGAGTGAGCGCGTGTTCTTGTTTTCCTTAATGTGACCTTTGAATGTATTTATTAGAAGATTTGAAGGAAAGTTCAAGTCAAATCTATCCTTCTATAATGCAAAGACGCACGTCTCGTGGTTACTGTTAGGTTAATTAGGTGATCTTAAAGGGGACCCATCTTAGAGCAATACGAGATTTATTCTTAGGAAATTGTAATTCTTTCTGTGCTCAGCATGGGGACGATGCTGCACGGCATGTTGTGACACTTTATGGGTGATGGTTTAGCAAAGGTGATCTGAATATTTCATTTGTAAGTGACTGGATTGCCAGAGAACGAAAAAAAAGGCCTTTGTTATTCTTTTTTTTTCCATCAGTGAAAGAGGGAGGTCTGACTTTTCATCCCTTTAGAAATTATCCGGTATAAAATCTAGACTATGAATATTAAAAGTGAAAGATCACACCCCAGGCACAGGGAAAGCATGTGTTCATAAAAAACTGCCTGAATGCAATGTGGTCCTCATTCGGAAGGGGCTTCCACCCCACCACTCCGCTGCTCGCAGGATTTGCCACCAGCTCCTCTCTGCCTTCATCTATCAAACGCGGTCTGTAACTGTTCTCCAGAAATATCACCCGTATGTGGAATACAACAGTAACAAACGTTTTTATTGCAACAGGTTCGGCAGCATGGAAGGACATCCACGGTAAGTGACCTCTTATTTCTTGTAGAGTTTGCGATGCTTGAAAATCCTGTTTCTTCCCTTCAGACTGGAAGAATTAAAACTGATGTATCCCTGCTGAATATTGCTACCAAAAAAAAAAAAAAAAAGAAAAAAACCATGTCAGCACGTGAAGGATTGTGGAGTCTTGTGGAGTCGGTTTGTGGTACCATGTCCTAATCCTGGCTACCGTTAAAAGCAGGGGTGCAGCCTCCTGAGGGTTTATTCTAGGGCCGTACAGGTGTCCTCCTGCTCTTAAGCACTCTGAGGCAATTAGCAGCGTTTCCATTTTAAGTCGGCGGGACTGTACAGCGCCTCCCCGTCCCGATCCCGGACGGATCGCGTTGTGTCCCAGCGCCTCATAACCTTGGCTACTCCCCCTCTGTCCTCCAGACGGGATGCGAAGCAGAGCTGTGACTGCGAGCTGGCGTTAACCTCGTTTGGCACAGCCCGGTGCACGGGTGACCGGGGCGGCGGGCTCTGGAGGCTGTCAGGGCTGGCCAGCCGAGCCAGCCCCCGCCAGCCGGGTCGTGCGGGGCGGTAGCGCTGATCCTCTGGGCAAGGGACGTTCAAACGGGGATTTAAATGCTGTGCAGGCACGGAAGGGAGTGGGCATCTGATCTTGCGAGGGCCACCTTTTACTGGGGGGGTGTTCGCATCCCCGGTGGTCCCGCGGGAGCTGCGCTGAGGGGACCGAGGGGAGGGCAGCAGTGCGGGGTGTAGCAGGAGATGCTGTTGAACCTTTCTAGCTGCAGTGAGGAGCTAAGTGCATTGGTCCTGGTGCTCCGGACTGAGACCGGCTTGTCTCTCAAAGAGGAAAGAAAGCGTGCGAGGTTCGGAGATTCACTAGGTATCCGTTGCCCTCCCCGTTCCTGCAAGCCCCGCTCCGGCCGGGAGCAGGCACAGGAGCGGACCTGTGTTTGTTTGCGTTTCTCCCTGTTTCCTCTCCCTGCTTGCTGATAAATAATCGCTTTCACGGCTTGTGCCAGGCTTCTCTTTCTCGTTTTGCCTTACGTTGTCATATTGGTTTTCGAGCCCTTTAAATACGAACTGAAGAATCGCCTCCAGCGTTGCAGTTTTAATTGTGTTCCATAGGTAACTTTCCTCCCCCCGTAGCTCAGCCCTGCGCTATGTAGATGCCCTTGGCATTTTATTCCAGGGCCGGCCCTAAATGTATGGATTACTTGTTTTCTGCCAACGTACATTTAGCATACTGATTATGAACCAGAACACAAAAAGCCTGATAGATCAAAAGCATTTTGTATGGGCAGTTGAACAGGAGGTGAATATATAACGCTTTTGTTCATCAATAACTCTTTGGCTTTGACCTGTCTGAGCAAGTCGTGCAATAAGGTGAAACGCAGGTCACAGCGTCTAACAAATATGAAAATGTGTAGTATTAAGCAGAACCGGGAGCTGCTGCTTCCCCAGCCCCGTCGCTTCTCCCCGGGCAGCCCTCGGAGGGCTTGTCCGCTCCCGGGGGCTGCCCCAAACGCAAGCTCCGTTTTGGGGGCTGGGGGGGTGGGGGGTGTTGTCCTGCCAGTTCAGCCGGGTGGTTAATACCCGCCCCCCCCCCGGTGGGGAGGTATCCCCCTCCCCTCAGAGAAAGGAGGAGAAAGCGGGGCGAGCCGCTTAAAATAGTTGGGTGGAGATTTAAATAATCGGGGGGAGGGGGGAGAGATTAGGGACACAAAGTCGTTTCGAGTTGCACTTGCTGTGAAGAAGACACCACGGCAGTGCTAAGAAAGCAGATGTTTAAAAATAGCATCCCCCAGATCAGGCAGCTGGGAGTTGGAGGCAGGCAAACAAACCGGTACACATGGCTCGGATAAACGCAACACCCCCAAATCTGCCCTCCGCAGTGGTTGGATGTATCACACCCGCACCATTATTTGTCCTTATGGTGCCTGTTTTAAATAGTGGAAGGAGAAGAGGTTGACCGCAGGACAGCAGTGAGGAGCTGGGTCAGACACAATTCATGAACTTTTGTACTCCTGTGTGCCGCTGTCGACAAAGTAAAAGTAATGAAACTTTGTGATATGTTTGTAAATGATTTCGGCTGACCTCTCGCCCTGCCCTTCACCATAAACGCTACGGCGGGGAGAACCTGGGAGGGTGCGAGGCTGCGGCTCGCAGGCAGCTCGCGGGGATAATAGCTAGACCAGCATAATGGGATGAAGGTAAATTTGGAAACTCTCTTCTTCCCGAGAGCAACTAACCCCAGCCTTTAATCTCCTCTTTTTCACCAATCGCTGTTTCTGTTGTCGGCTGTTTTACTTCTGTTTCGATTTTTTTTAAAATTCTTGGTTGTCAGGGGGGGGGGGATGGTGACGGATTTCTAATTATGGAGAATCTCTTCAGATTCGTGTTAGCCCAAATAGATAAAGGCTCTTTTCTAAATTATTTTAACCATTATTATTCTAAATAGCGCAATTTGACCGGTAACGTCCGTTTTCCGTAGCGAGGACGTAAACGGCAGAGCATTTAAAATGAGCAGCAGGTCTTTCAGAGAATTTGGTAGGCGAAATTCATCGCTATAAATTGGTGGAGAGTCGTATAGCTCTATCGCAGCAATAATAACAAGCGTGAATCTTTTCTGAAATCCCACCTTCCTGCAAATCCGTATTTCAGAACTGAGTCCCAGCAGAATAGTTTGCATTCCTCAGAAGACAGTAAGGACTAAGAGAATGGCAAAGACCTGCTATATTGTAGATGAAAACAGAATGTTATTACGTTGTCTATATATACCCTGTAGAACCGAATTTGTGTGATATTCATATAGTCACAGATTCGATTCTAGGGGAATATATGGTCGATGCAAAAACTTCACCTTTCTGCAAATGGTTAGAAGTTTAAATACTGGCGGAATCAAAAGGCATGTGCGTGCTGAACCCTCAGAAATTATAAAAGTTTTGCTGCCTCGCTCCTATTTGCTAGGTTTTAGGACGTCTCTTAAAATCTCAGTTGTCGTTCAGTCGTAACTCTCACTGACAGGCTGTGCATTTAAACAGTTAATCTCAGCAGAAGTTACAGATTTTCTGGAAAAAAAAAATTATCTACCAATCAGTGAATGAATCTTTAAAAAGATACTCAGAAATTAGCTAGATATGTCAGACGTTAGCAAAATTTTCCTGTCGAGGGTCCAGATCGCATCAAAATATTTACGACAGCAGCAAAAGCAGCATTCGCCTCACTGGAATGTCTTTACTTGTGCTCCAGGAATGATATTGATGAATGAAGACCGAATTTATCTCATTAAACCCGTGATATTTTTAACCGAATTAAACGCCTTCTCCAGTTCAAGTGATTGAACTTTAGTGGTTAAAAGTGAACGGTTTCTTGCCATCCGTGCGGTTTTACATGCATACGCGTATGGCTCCATGGATGTGCGTGTGCGTTTGCGCCTGTGCACGCGTACGTACGCTCACATATATATCGAGGCTCGGAAGCGAAAGAGAAGTTACTGATTGCCTAATTTTATTCAGCAGAACTAAATTCTGGTAACTTTTGGATGACCCCTGCGAGACAAAGACAGGACAGCTCTATTGTACATGATATTGCCCGCTTCTTTGACGGCTGTTCTGTTCCCCGCTTCCTCACGGGTTTCCTGCCTTTGCAGCCCACTTCGGCTCCTCGCTCGGCGTATTTCTTTGGCTATTTTATTTAAGGCGAGGTAACGAACCCCGGTGGCGGTGGCGGCTGGCGAACCGGACGGCGGGGCACCGTCGTCGCCCCGCGGGGCTGGGGGAAGCCAGCTCGGGCGGACAAAAGGCTGGTCCCGGCCCTACCTGCGGGCCGGGGAGGCGGCCGGCGCCCGGGCAGTCCCCCTACACCTCCGGTACCTGCTCCGGGGGGTGCGACCCGCCGGAGAGGGGGTCACCCGGTTACGGGGATATTCGCGAGTGGAATCGGTGGAAACGCTGAGCTGCGGAGAAATCCGGTGATCGGCTCCCGCCTCCCCATTGGCCGGGCCGGTCACATGCCCGCCTAACTTTATTCAGTTGACAGCAAGTAGGAGGGCTCTATGGCAGGGGAAAAAAAGACAACACGAGAAAAATTAGTATTTTCTACCTTCAGAAATTAATGGCCATGAGTTCGTATATGGTGAACTCTAAGTATGTGGACCCCAAATTTCCTCCTTGCGAGGAATATTTGCAGAACAGCTACCTAGGCGAGCAGGGGGCCGAGTACTACAGTGCCTCGCAGGGCTCTGATTTCCAGCACCAGGGACTCTACCCACGGTCAAACTACAGCGAGCAGCCCTTTAGCTGTAGCAATGCCCAAGGCTCTGCCGTGCAGCCGCGGGGTCACGGACAGGAGCAATCCGGCCCAGCGAGCCACTTCCCCGGCCAAGCAGAGCATTGTCCACCGCCTCCAATGTCCAACTCGCGAGCCTGCAGCCAGCAGCCGGCCCTCAAACCCCCAAACGGGTCAGCAGTTAAGCAGCCAGCAGTAGTTTATCCCTGGATGAAGAAAGTCCATGTTAACTCGGGTAAGGATCCTCTTCTTACTTTGCTCCTCTACCCTGCTCCCGGTCGCCCTCAGCGGCGCTCGCTCGAGTCCCTGCCAGGCTCGTGGACGAGGTTTTGAAGCCGAGGTAGCCAATTACACTCGTCATAAATTTTTATTGCTGAGGAAATAGGCCGTTGGCCGTGCGGGGCTTTGCCGTGCAGGAGAAAGCTCCATTTTAGGAGCCTGCTAGAGGCTCCCAGCCTACCTAGCTGCGTGTGCCTGTAACAGTGCCTGCCTTAAGCGAGGGGGAGAGCAGCCCATCCATTGTAAGCAACTGGGACGAATCCAGCCCGGCCACATGCTCGCAGCTCCTAAGGTTTTCTTTTGTAAAGTCGAACCGGCAAGTCGAGATTAGCTTTGTAAAGTTCTCCGTGTTTTTTTCCCAGTGAATCCCAATTACAACGGAGGGGAACCTAAACGCTCCCGCACAGCTTACACCAGACAGCAAGTCCTAGAACTGGAAAAAGAATTTCATTTTAACAGGTACCTGACCAGGCGCCGCCGTATCGAGATAGCCCACACTTTGTGTCTCTCTGAGCGCCAGATCAAGATCTGGTTTCAGAACAGAAGAATGAAGTGGAAAAAAGATCACAAACTGCCCAACACGAAGGGCAGGTCTTCTTCCTCTGGTTCAAACCCCCATTTACAGACTGGTTCCAAGGACCATCAGACTGACTTGACAACTTTGTAGAAGAGGTGAAATTTTCCATTTCATCCTTCGCTTCTGACCAGTACTGTACATAACTGACACTGCCCAAGCAGAGCCTGCATGTAGCAGCTAAGGACTCGAGAAACTGTCATCTTTCTTTAAGGTACTGTTGTACAAAGGAGACAAAATGACGCTACTTTGGACTTTATTTTATTTGCCTCTGCTAGCACAACCTAAAAAAAAAAAAAAAAAAAAAGGAAAAAAAGGGGGAAAGAAAGAAAGAGAGAAAAAAAACCAAACCCAAAACATCATGCAGGCAGTGGGAATTGGGAAAATATTAAACGAGACCTTCTGTCCATAAAAAGTAATAAATCATTGAAAATGAAACTGTCCTGTGTTTCAGTTTTGAATTTGAAAGTGAAGGTTTGATGCTTTATTCTGGGATTTTTACTTTTAATTGTCTTTTTATCCCATGCAGTTTCGGGAAGATGCATTCGGGCAAGTTGAGGGCAGGAAATTTATAGCATAGTCTTTTCTTTGAACATAAAGACTAGTAATTGTGAACTTTTTGTGCTGCTTTACCTTGTGTAATGAAAATACTTGCTCATTTCCGTAACGTCTCAGAAGGTGTGCATAGAAATTAAGTGAAAACGGGTTATTTTATGTACTGATAGTGTTAGCGTATTTATTTATTTGTTATGTAGAAGAGTGAAGATAAAAAGAATAATAGTCAAACCAAAAACGGGGAAGGGGAGCTGAAATACAGTACTTCTCCTTCCCAGTCTCATGAACACATGTATGTTTACTTGTCTTGAACGTACACAACTTTCTTGTCCCTTTTTTTGAATTTCCTTCTTTGTGAACAGGAAAAGCACCCCTGCTCCTTACCATGTGCCATCCAGGGCTAACAGGCTTGAAATCTGTTTCCAAAGTCTGCTCTCAGCGCTGTGCTTTAAATCATCGATACCTCGTTTAAAAGTGGAGGGAAAAAAAAAGGGGGGGGGGGAACCACAGAAAAATCAACCCCCACAACAAAAAAACTAAAAAGAAAACCCCAGAGCGAAAAAAATTAATGCCAATTCTGATGTAACCTAAGCCATTCAAAGCTGAAAGCTAAATGCATTCTTTCAATCAGATTTTAGATTTCTTTTCTGCCCAAGAGAGAGATAGGCTATGTGGGTTGCTGCTTTGTTTTGGTTTGGGGTTATTTTGGTCGGTTGGGCTTTTTTTTTTTTTTTTTTTTTTTTTTTTTTTTTTTTTTTTTTTTTGTGAAGAACAGTGATTGTTTTTAAGCAAACCACGAGACATGACTGCAATGGTTGGAAATCTCAGCAAGTTGCTTTCGGGGAAAGGGGAAAAGCTCGGATGGGAGCAGAGCTGGTCTAATACCCACGGATTTGTCCCTGGCTGCTGGCTGCTTCGTGCCAAAGTTTTAGTGCGCTGTAACTACTAAACCCAGCCAAACCAGCTCCCTCAGCCACTTACACCTCCGCTCAGGAGATTTTAAGGCTCAGCCCTTATCTGCTGTACCCTCAGGGCAGCCTGGGAGAGGGACCATATCATGGAAATCGTAACGAGGTGATGCCTTTATTAAAGAGAAAAGGGGCAAAGAAGGAAACCCAGAGCAAACGCTGAAGGGAGGTGGAAAGAGCAGGGGGTGAGTTAACGTGCCCATCTCCAGGCTGGGTGCTTCCCACCGAGGACTCGCTGCTTTCTGGGCTCGCTCGGGAAGACGCTGGCTAAAATGGTCTTGAATGAATTCGAAAATAAAAGGAGAGCTTTTCAACAGGAGTGTATTCGGCAGCATTAACTGTGGCCAGCGGTTAATTTCTGCCCTTTTCTCATCCCTAGAAGTCCGCAAAGTGTCTTTAAGACTTGGTCTTTTGTTTTAGAGCCTGGAGAAAACTCTTTGTTCTTCCTTAGGGTTAGCCCAGTTCTCAGACTTGCACATGGCAATACTTGAATATCTCCACGTCGTGATATTAAAGATGGATATTCCCGCATTATTCGCATCATTGTTTCTATGACAAAAAGCACCGAGTTCATACATAGTAAAGACGTCTTTTTTCTGACGCCTTCACGTTGAGAAGCTGAAAAGGTATTTTACTGAAGTTCGGCTAAATTGCAGGAACAGGTTCACCCAGAGGACAAATTTTCTATTCGATTAGTTGTATTTCAGCCGGGAAGAGTGACCTCTAAACCCTTAACCTTTTGGACCCAAACTACCCTTCCCTTTCTCTGGCATGGAGAGCAGCTAGCAGCAGCAGCGCTTGAGGAGGGAATTCCTGAGACAAGTTTTCAAGTTTTGTTACACCCGGTTCCTGCGGTAGCGGCCTTTCGTCTCCAGAGTTGTCCAAAGCCTTCCCTTTGCTCTTCATACCAATCTAGGGAAAGAAAAAAAAAAGGGGGGGGGGGGGGAAGGAGGGAAAAAAAAGGAAAACCTCACTGGCTGCTCTTCTTGAAAATCCCCCTCCCGGACCCCCGCTGTTTACTTAAAGTCTGTGATAAGCTGGCTGGGAGCAGGGCAAACGTGTTATTCGAGAGAGAGCTACCAACTTTAGCATCTGTGGCACATTTCTGGAAAATAATGGCCTTGGATAAGCAAATCCTTGCTTTGTGCTTCTTATCGACCGAGATGGCTCCCGAAGTTAAAGGACCAAATTCTGCTCCCAGATTTCCTTCCCCCGCCCACTGAAGTCAAACAGGGATGTAGCTGCGAGCAGAATTTGTCTCATTGTCTTTTGAAATGTTAATATCTCCAGGACGAGTGTTGAGTTCAGCAGGCGCAGCTCTTACAACCCTGTTTGCAAGTCCCCTTTGAGTGATGCTGGGGCACTGTAAGTTTACATAGTTTTAATTGCGCTGTAAGCTCGAAAAATACATGAACTGAAGGCAAAGTACCAAAAGAAATAGTTTCCAGCTGCCAATGTTCTGAAGGGTCAGGGACGTCTGCAATAACGACCAGGAGCACCCACTTGTCGTTGTCTCCCGTGCAAAATGAACCTGCGGTTTATTTTTGTGGGTTTTTAGCCCTTCTCCGGAGTTATTTTGTGTAGGAAGGGAAGCTGGTTGTTTTTGTTTATCATGGGTGAAACGCTGTGCATGGGAGCCTTTGTTAAACGGTCGCATTGTCCAGCAATACACTCGTCTCTGTTCAAGTGTGATGCTTTTTATAGACTTTGCCAATGTTTTGCTGCCATTGATTAAAGCGTTATTTATACTAATTGTGGCCTGTAGTTTTGATGTAAGCCCTCCATATGCATTTGAAATAATAAAAGGTGTAGAGAAATAGATTCTGGTTTGTACCTTGAACAAACAGTCCTTACAAGGTGGGTCTCTCTTCTGTGAAAATGCTGGTCCCTCCCATCATTATAGTGTTAAAAGATGAGTGACTCTGCATAGCATCCTTCCAAATGTCCCTTTGAACAGGTTTGCTGATTGCCCCAGCCATAATGGTGTGACTCTAGGCCAAGCTGGAGTCTATATTTACATTCGGGCTGCAGTTAAAAGTGCCTGTCATCCATTTGCTACTGCTTTGCATTTAACAAGCCCTCCTAGAATGCCTCCCGGATTTATGCATGTGTGGTGGGAGGCAAGGAGCCACACCTGAAGTCACCTCGATCCCCACACAGATGTGTGCCTTTTAGGTGAGTCCTGGAGGGGATCAATTCAAAGCAGAAATGGGAATTTGAAATTGAAATGCGGTGCGTAGCTTTCTCTGGGCAGTACGCTTCACTTTTCCAGCCGGTACAAACGAGGGATCACAAGAAAAGACAGACTTGGGGGAGTTTAAACTTTCCCGTGCACCTAAGGCAAACATCATTTTTTTCTCCCCTGCGTAAGCCCCTCAGACAATAACACATACCCCTGGCCGGGAGAAGTCGATTGCACTGGGTTTGTCAGAAGTATTTGTCACCGAGGACTTGTCCTCTCCCGGCGCGCGGTCAAGGCACGAGTCCAGAAGGCCAGTGCCTGGCGCAGGCCGGGCAGGAGCGCGGCGCGCAGAGCCAGGCGTGTGCCCTCGCTGCCTGGAGTGCGCGGAGGGGAGGGCGCGTGTGCGTTTCCAAGCACGCACTCGCTGAGTTGAAATGTCGAGGCACATTTTGTGATTATACTTTCTCTCTCCCCTGTTTAATGGCTCCTCCTGTTACTCCCGATACATCAATACGGTTCTGTATATTATATCACCACTAGTCGTTAAGGTAAGAATGAAGAGGAAAGGCAGAGTCAATAGCAAAGCCCACTCACTGTACAGTACAGTAAATAGGGACCTCTCGGTGCAGAGCCACACTGCTTCCAACGGCCATGTTGGTTAGCCCTTTCCCCTGATTTTTTTCCTCCTTTTTTCCCTTTTTTTTCCCTTCCCCCCCAAGCCTAGAGACCAAAATAATCCTGCTAGGAACAGTCATAACAGGCAGAATTTCAAAGTGCAAGGAAGATGATAAGAATAGATTTCTACAAGTCCTGACCACGTGATTTGCGAAATAATTAATTCAGCACGTCCCTTAAGAAACACGGAGTCGTCATTAATCTGCCAAGCAAAGGACTCTATCAGACTTGAAAACTGAAGAGATCCCAAGAATATAATATACAAAGGGTGCAGTCCCTCTCTCTGCACACCTAGCTCTTTGGTAGCTGCCGAAAAAGAGACGCCGGTACGTAAACATTTTTTACTTTTATTCCTTCTTATTTAAGCCTTAATGAACTCAGCTGTCAAACGCTTGACAAATAGGGCACGCTGCTTCCTGGTTTCCAGCTCGGCAGCGGCCGGGAACGGGACCGGGCGCAAGCGGTGACCTTTGCTTCCCAGGGAGCGGGGGGAAGAGGGCGAGCGCGGAGCAGCGCGGAGCCGCGCGGAGCG